ACATTGCTTGCTCAATTGACACGTTTGACAATGGAAATCTGACACTGAACAAGACTTAAATAAAAACGGAAACAAAGACTTTATTATTTCAAAAGACACATGTCCTAACCGATTATGCCACAAAACAATTTGACCCTTATTTGACCGACTATGAGACTCTGAAGATGACACTAAGAAACCAGCCTTGCTGTCTAGAGTGTAGAGACCATCCACTAAGCTTCCTCTACCAATCGTCCTCCCAGAAGTTAGATCCTAAAAAATACATGAATTAGGAAAAAAGGTTACACTGCAGTTTAATGAATTTGTGATACTACTAATAGAAAGAAGGTTGATGGGTAGCTAAGGGACATGCAAAACATTACTCAAGTTAAGTCCTTGAGGAAGGGATATTGATCCCTGACCTGCAATGTAAGAAAAAGAGCCATCTGCAAGTCTCACTTTATCCCTTCCTGACAAATGGTTATAAAAACTGAATAGGTTTGGCTTACCTATCATGTGATTAGAAACCCCTGAGTCAATGATCCAGGGGGAATCTATGGCTGTGGAGACATGGAAGGCAGAAGCTGCATTACCTGATGTAGACGCAAATGAAGTAGAAGGGTTACCAGCGGCTGATCTGTCCATCTGGCGTAAGGCCCTACCATATGATTCCAAGTGACTATGGAAGGAGTTCATAATGTCTTCCTTGGGGTCAGAACCAATGAAGTGTTCTCGAGTAGTATCAGTTGGCACCACAACAGACTAAGTGTCTTGGGTTACCACATTTGCTGTGTTGTGTGTTGTATTAGGCTTCTTCTGACTCTGTACCTTACCTTGTTCTTGGTTCTTTACAGCCCACTTTGGTCTCCCATGGAGTTCCCAACATGTGTCGTGTGTATGTCTTGAATGACGGCAATGAGTGCAGAACAACTTATCCTTATCATTGGCTTTCCTGGAATCATTTTTCTTTCCTAGATTATTCCCACCCGTTGCAGCTAATGCCACTTGTTGCTCCCCCTCAGTTGTAACCATCACACTCTGCCTACTTTCCTCAGACTGAACAAGGGCATACACCTCTTGGACTGAGGGCAACTCTTTACTTCCTAAAATCTGAACTCTAAGGGGTTCATATATGGGGTTTAGTCCCAACAAGAAGGAAAAAACCCGCTACTGAGAGACCAGCTTCTTATAGGCTCTAGCATCATCCTCATGTTTCCATTCTATAGCTTGACAGTGGTCCGATTCCTTCCACACTGAGGTAAGAGCTGAATAATAGGCTGATAAGCTGCGGTTTCCCTGTTTACAAGTTGAGGATTCAGCTTGCAACTGGTAGATCTTAGCAAAGTGCCTTTGCTCTAAATAGATGGTCTCGGCCTGTTCCCATATCTCATTTGCAGTATCTGTCCACATAAAATTCTTTTTCACATCAGATTTCATGGCTGCAAGGAGCCAAGACATCACCATACTGTTTTCTTGGTCCCACTGATCATGTTCAGCAGTCCCACTCTTGGGTTCTTTCACCCTTCCATTTATGTAACCAGCCTTTCCCCTTGCTGTTACATAAAGTTTTACACCTTTGGCCCATTCCAGGTAGTTCAGACCATTTAAAGGAGTTATTGGCATAGGAAACATCATGCTTTCAGTCCCCATACCTGCTGTACCACGGGTTGATGTAACCACAGATGATGCAGAATCCACATTCGCCATTTTCAAAGGCAGGTTTACAAGCCAAAACAGGAAAACTGCAGGTGCACAAGACCAGTCCTCACACCAGTACTATTTCTAACAGTCACAATTAAGGCACAAAACACCACACCCTACTTCTGAAAACATGTACACACTGCTGAAGCACATAAACAGTCCAGGAAGAAGAAGAATACTGCTGTACCAAGTATACTGCTGTATATTCCACACTTCACAGACTAATTCTAGCATATATCTGGACAAAGGGGATCACACACCCCTGTACAGCATCTGTACGAAGGTGCAAGGAACATAACAGGCCTTCACAGCATCAGCCAAAGGTCAGAAAGAAAGTTTATAGGTCTTCACACCATCTGTCGAAGGAACCAGGCCTTCACAGCATCAGCCGAAGGTCAAAAAAGAAAGTTTGTAGGTCTTCACAGCATCAGTCGAAGGAACTAGGTCTTCACAGCACCAGTCGAAGGTCAAAAGGATGTTTTTTGAATCTTCACAGCATCAGTTGAAGGAGGCAAGGAAGCTACACAGCATCGGCTTCCACCAATTAGGGAGGGTTACCTTGGTGCTACGACCAAGGAAGAACCCAGAAGAAGAGACAAGTTATTTCCGATCAGTCCGATTTGAAAATTTTGTCTTCACAGTCCAAGAAAAGAGATTGACGCCTGGGTTGAGTGAATGCTTCTCAGCGAAATAAAACTCCTATTGCCCAGCGTGTTGCTCTGATACCATGTAATCATATGAAGAAGAGGAATAACAGAGAAGAGAGAGAGAGAGAGAGAGATGTAGAGAAGGTGGGCCGAATGGCCCATAGGCTGTTATTCTTTCTTACTGTTTATGTTCCTTTCTATAATGGGCCTTATTATGGGCCCATCCTCTTCTATGTTATGTTCTTGTAATTTCTTGCCCAACCAAGGGCCCCCCTTGTAATTATTCAAAACTAACTTAATGAAATAGTGTTAGGGTGTTGGAGGGAGAGTGAAGTTTGAACCTCTCATACTCTAACCCTCTTTGCTGCCATCTCCCTCTTCATCTTCTACTCAATAGAAGCAATCTTCTCTGCAGTTTTT